CTCTCGTCTCTCTCTCTCTCTCTCTCTCTCTCTCTCTCTCTCTCTCTCTCTCTCTCTCTCTCTCTCTCTCTCTCTCTCTCTCTCTCTCTCTCTCTCTCTCTCTCTCTCTCTCTCTCTCTCTCTCTCTCTCTCTCTCTCTCTCTCTCTCTCTCTCTCTCTCTCTCTCTCTCTCTCTCTCTCTCTCTCTCTCTCTCTCTCTCTCTCTCTCTCTCTCTCTCTCTCTCTCTCTCTCTCTCTCTCTCTCTCTCTCTCTCTCTCTCTCTCTCTCTCTCTCTCTCTGGTAATGATGCAGCAGCTAGAGCTGGCAAGTGTGGTTAACACACGCGCGGTAGTTAATATCATAACTCGATATGTAAAATCGACACGGGAAAAATATTTTAAGCGAATGTCAATATTTGCCATCATAACGATTGCCGCCGCTCGTCCGGGCGATGTGTTGCCATTACGTATATACGCAGCGTTTAAGAAAGACATAATTTCGTATCTCTTATATATGCACACGCACAGACACGCAGAGATACGGATGCACGCACGAACACACGCTCGCAGGCCCACGCACGCATGCACGGACGCACGCACGCACATTCAAACGTTGAGTTTGGACAATAATTTAAGACACGGTTGTACGTCCCTACGTTAGCGCATGTTTTTTTTTTGCTTTTGAACAATATACAAGAAACGATTACATCGCCTATGTTAATTTCAATAAATTCAATCAAGTCTCAGTTCATCGTACATGTATTTGTGATGCATGTACTATGCGCTAACTCGCATACGCCACCTCTCGTACGCCTCTCTTATACGCCTTCTTGCCCTATGCTGCCGTCATGGTAACTATAGTAGGTGTCATGGTAACTATAGTAGGTGTCATGGTAACTATAGTGGTAACTATGTGTAACAATAGTCCCGAGTCATCAGCGACCTGGCATCGCGCTCATCTCTCTTTCTCTCTCTCTCTCNCCAGGCCCGAGCCAAATTTTAGCACCAGCTTTCGGCGAGCGGTAGACAGGTAGAATCGGTTGAGCGGTAGATGCCACGAGTGTCAAACGTGTACTTCGACGAAATAAAGTCCAGAACAGTATAAAAATTTGAAAAATTTGATCAGGATGCACGTTTTCAAGATTATTAAACTCGGAACGTAAGTAAACACTCTAAATAGTAAACAGAATTTGACAGACAGTATTCACTTGCGTACGTGTGAACGCGCCGACTCAAACCGGCCCGAGCCAAATTTGGCCCGAGCCAAATCTAGCCCATTTGGCTCGAGCCAAATCATGACCGTGTGAACGCGACTATACTAGCGTAAACAGCAGTGTAGTACTAATGCCACGTGAAGTCTGTTATTAGAGAAGCTTGTGGATTGCCAGTCAGATAGTAACACGGGAATGACAATGACAGAAAGTGCTCTGAATTATTGACATAAAAACTCAATGATATTTACCAAACAGAATTGCACGCCCTTTTGTTTTAATTATGTTCGCTTGTTTGAGACGCCATTTGTGATTTTTGAAAGTCTTGACTTGAAAAAATTTGCTGCTGGTATGATGTGGTCAAATCAATTTTTCTATGCTATAACTGCATAAAATATTGGTGTTTTGAATGTTGGTGTAATCAGTGATATTTTCGCTGTCAGGTGAGACTATATTCAGCTATATTTAGTTTATCTGAGCAAAATTCTCGCAATGACGTTGACCTGTATTTGTTTGTTGCTTCGTTTAACAGCACATGGTGGCCGCGCTTTAATGATCACGGTAAGGTTCGTTCCTACCCTAGCTGTTAAAAATATTAGCGTAGAGTTGGCACAAACGCGTTGCTGTACCGTCAGCTAGGTTATATGTATAGTAAGTTTTCTGTTACACGAATTTCTGTCAAAGTCTAGATAATGAAAAATCCTTATTTGCGTAGACACACGACAAAGTAATAGGATACGTGCTTGTGGCAATTCATTCGCAGTGTGCTATCTAATATTACGCTATTGCATGCCACATGAATTGCATTACGCGAAGCAATCAGTTTTAGCATAGGTTACAATTTTACGTGCGTTAAAACGTTCACAATATCGAACACGCTACCGTCGCTACAATTTTCCATTTTTCATTTTATAAAAAACCTTGCGTAGGTGATATATGTTTATGTATATAGACATGGACGGATACGTCGACGGAAAGACGGACGGACGGATGGACGGACGGATGGACAGACGGATGGACGGACGAACGTACGGACGGACGGACGTGAATGGATGGATGAATAAATGGATGGATGATGGATGGATAAATTAATGCCGCACAATGCGCATCCAAACGCTAATTTCTCCAGTACTAGACTAGCAAATACTTCGTGGCATGCATAATCACACTACCTTATGACAAAATAAACTCTAGTTGCTCCAATTTCACTGCGCGTTTGCTTAAAACCCACAAAAACTGACATTCTGGCGCAAACGCCGACTTGTTTGCCAAACAATTTAGCCTCGAAGTGGTTAGGTGATGTCACATGTTTTTATCTTTGCTATGCTTTGCTACACCCGTACCGCTAAACCGGAGCACCGCTGCACGGTTGCTTGGGGGAAACTGTCAACAACATCGGAGAATCTGAACAACATTGGAGGTATTTTCAAATACCTTTTATAAGACAACGCGCAGTGAAATGGGAGGAACTAGAGTTTATTTTGTCATAAGGTAGTGTGATTATGCATGACACGAAATATTTGCTAGTCTAGTACTGGAGAAATTAGCGTTTGGATGCGCATTGTGCGGCTTTAATGAATGGATGGATGATGGATGGGTGGATGGATGGATGGATGACTAGATAGATCAATAGATGGATGGATAAATGGAA